GTGTAAGCATCTCAGCGCTGTCAGGGGTCTCCACACGGCTGCTCCAGCACCCAGGGCTGCATCATGGTAAGTCCATGTGGCTTCTCCTCAGGGATGTCTTGCAGAAAGTGAGCCTGGCCAGGTGAAGCAGGGAACTGGCTAAGATCAGCTGCACCCTGGTCCGGCCATCAGAAAGCAAGAGACCCAAGGAACTAGAAAGGCGAGGCTCAGTGAGCCATTTATCCCTCCGCCCTTCAATTAACCCCACGTGTTTATCGGCCAAGTTGCACAATTAACTACCTCACCTAGCAACCCCACCCCAGCACTGGCCCGAGACCAGAAACCCCATGTGTGCAGGCAGGCACAGGATGCCAAAGTGTCCCTAACTTGAATGGTTAAGCAGCCATACCATGGAGTGTCACTGGACATGAAAGAAGGATATATTTGGGTGAGGCAGACCAAGACCCTCCGCTGATGGGCAACGCCTGGAAGAGGAAGCTGAGACAGAGGTGGAGACCAGCAGTTGCCTGAGGCTGGGCGTTGAGGAGGAAATGGGGAAGTTTCTTTTAGGGGTGATGAAGATGTTCTAAAAGTGACTGTTGGAGTGGCTGCACAACTCTATGACTACATTAAAAACTCTGAAATCCTACACTTTTAAAAGGGTGAATTCTATGATGCAAGAAATAGATCTCAACTAAATTGCTACTAACAAATCACATGGTCTTCTACATTTACAGAGCAGGTGCTGAGCAGCAGCAGCAGCTTGTTTAAAGGACTTTGGCATCTGTATTTTACTTTAGCAAAAGTAATCACAAACCTTTTCACTGGCAACTCACAAAATTCTCTAAATCAGAGCTCTAAGGACAGTGACTGAGTGACACAGGTCACTGGAGGTGAGGCTGGTACAGCTACACCGCTCGTCAGCATTCATGTCAGACACATGTGGGGGAGATCTCATTTTGCCAAAGACATGAAGTACCTCTCTCATCCTACAAGGCAGTAACCTTGTCTGGTGTCCTCCCTGCTCTGACCTGGAGTAGGGTGGGGTGGGGGTAGAAAGAAGCACAGAAGACAGAGAAGCAATGGCACAGAGTACAAGAATGAAAACAAAACAGGAAGTCTTTTCAAAAAATAGAAAAGGATAAATGTCATTCAGCAGAGGGTAATTTTACAATGCCCAATAAGGAACCAAAGAAATGCAAGTGTAATGTTAGGGTTGAGAGATCTGAGCAGAACACTCATTTAAGACCAACACCTGAGACGCACGTAGCACAGCTCCTTTTAAATGTGACCGGGGAGGTTCTGGAGACCCAGGAATATTTATCCACTGTTGATGCCCTGGAACGTGTGCCAGCTTTTTAAAGGAGCCCTGGTGGCGTGGTAGTGAGCTGTAATCTGCAAGGCCAGCAGTTCAGTACCACCAGCTGCTCTGCAGGATCAAGACGGGACTTTCTGCTTCCAAAAAGTACTACAGTCTTGGACACTCACGGGGGCCATTCTACCCTGTCCTACAGGGCTGGTAAAAGTTGGCATCAACTCATTAGCAGCGAGCTGGTTTGGGTTGGTGGCATACCACAATGCACACTGGGTTGCTAGCCACAAGGTCAGAAGTTCAAACACAGAATTGAAAAATATGAGGCTGCCTGCTCCCGCAGAACCCTGGTTTTACAAACTGGTCTGCTCACCAGTACAGGAACAAGGCAGGTTTGGAGTCTCAGAAGCCCACAGGAGCAGTTCGGTTCTATCAGCTGCTATAGGCCAGAAATGTCTTAATGGTAGTTGAGCTTGGTCCCCTCACGTGAAGATTTACAGCCTCGGAAAACCAAGGGAGCAGTTGGAACGGGCTCAATGGCAACTAGATGGCTCTTTTTAAAGAGTACCCGGTGACACCTAAGGGGCAGAATATGCCACCTGCCACCTGTGTGAACCCCTCAGGTCAAGTTTCCTGTATCTGACAGTCTACCACGTATCCACCACGGTGTTCTGTGGGAAATATGGGCATTTCCATTTTCCCTCTACCAGGTTCCAGCCTCCCACAGGTTCTGCACAGAATAGCCGCCAAGTCCTTGGTGGTGCAAATGGGACTGTCCTGTGTCCAGTCACACTGGTGCAGCTGAGTCAGCTGGCCTCCTCTAACTTCACATGGTTCCTGTGGTTCCCGGGAGGCCAAGGTCAGGCATGTTCTCTCTCCAACTGTTTTTACCAGTCCTGACACCAGCAGTCCCGCCCACAGCAGTTTCTACTTCAAGATTGCTTCCATAATTCCTTGCAATGGCCACACAGAACTCACCACTACAGTGTTTATTAGGGAAGTAATAGATTACAATTCTTCAGTTAGTACCATTCTTGGTCCTGCTCACAGGCAAAGCCCTCTCTGGCTCTCAGTCTGGCCTCTGCCCTTACAAAACTCAAGATCACAGAGCCAGCCCATTGCACCAGACAGCCTCCTGCCCTCCAGCACTGTAGACTTCAACACCCACTGCTCCTTCCTGCCAGTCTCCTGGTTCTACCATTTCTCGACCACTGCTTCTCACCACCTCCTCCTGGCTCCAGTGTTACAGCTTCCTTGATCTCAGAAGGTGGCCTGGCTCCAAAAAATGCGCTCCCCTCCCATCTCATGGCTTCCTGGGAGTGGCCCTCCTCCTGTGCTCACTCTGCTCCTCTGGCAGGTCACCTTCAATTTCTTGTGGGAAGAGATGGGTAGAAGAGGTAGTGGTAACAGTGGTGACTGGGTATGACTGGAAGTTCAAGTCCACCCAGATGTAGTGAGTCTCTCATGAGCTCTCATTCAATCCTCGTAAAGGCTGTATCGCCTACTGGGAGCTATGCCAGAGAAGGGAAGCCCTGGTCTGGACACTAGCAGGGAAATGCAGAGATTGCGCTCCACCACGCCAGAATCCGTGTGAGGCTGGGACAAGGAAAACAAGTCACCCCGCCACACAGGGTTCACTGTAAAGAGAAAGGGGGGGCATGTGTGTGTGCGTGTGTGTGTGTGTGTGTGTGTGTGTTTCAAAGGCCAGACAGACCTTTTGCACAGATCACACAGACACATTATATGTGCTTTTAGCAACCGCACAGCCCTCCCCCACACGAGTCAGTATCCCAGTGTTCTGTATGCATTTATATTTGCCCTAAGACAACATGGCAGCCTTGGCAGTAACAGGGTCTCAGGCCTACAGGCATCAGGGCAGCAGGCGCTGACTGGGGCTGAGCAACAGCGAGTGGGATTGCTCCACCGCAAGGCAGCTGGGACGCAGAGCACAGCAAGGCTGTAGCCAGGCCTGGCCCCACTCTGCCCCGGAAGGAGAGTCCGCCGCCCAGGGGAGAGAGCGGAGAGTGGAGGGGCTGCTGGGATGGAGTAAAACTGAAAGGGAAAGGCCAACCCGAGGAGGGGAAAAAATTCCTGGAACTTGTCAACTCACTCAGGGCCCTCCCTGGGCTGGTAGCCACAGTGTTGTACACCTGTGCTCCTCGTGTGCTGAGCTACTGCTTGTTGACACGG